TGGAATGATGCCTCGATAAAAGTGGAAATAGAAAATATATTCACGAAACTTGTAACAAACTTGATTCATTTTTTCGTTGAATCGTCTCCTATGTGAGTTGAATGCATCATGTTAATTGGCTGGCATAAATAATTCACTAATTTATGATTTCATTTATATGTACATGCGTTTAAACCATACTATCCGTTTTTGAAATGAACGCGACTATGCGACAATCAGAACTAGTGACATCATAGTCACGTGATCAGTTTATAACGATACTTCTTCACTTAGACTATTCAAAATTATTGTAAAATTTTTTTTTCTTAATTTAAAAAATATAATTATGTAATATACGAAGAAATAATTCGTATAATATGAAACAAATACGCATGGTTTCAAATTAAAAGTACATATTGAAATCGTTTATATACGTATCTTACTTTAAAAAGATCAAGTTTTCAAAGCTCGATTGTCAAACGACAAAATTCTTCATATTCTATGGCGCAATAAAATGGAGCAAAAAATTTATTCTCATGATATTTTTCACGATACGATCGTAAATACTATTATCGATTATCATTTTATAAAAAATTTTTAAAAATCCATTTTAAATAAAATTAAATAATAATAACGTCAGAATAATTTGATACAAAACTGATTGTATATATATATATATATATATATATATATATATATATATAAGTATATTGATACGTGATGTCATTACGATTATAACTTGTTTACAAGCAAATAATGACAAAATAAATTATGTTCGTTCAAGCATGTGAACCTAATAACCTAAATATTATAGATTTCGTTTTGATCGATGATATTAGAAACTTTTTAAAAAATTTTCGAAGTGATACGTAAAATATTATTTTTTGTTTTTTTATAATCAATAAACAAATACTTGCCTCCAGCCATATAACTGTTTTCTTAACGTACCATGTATTGCAAGTTCCAAAAATAATTTCTTGATGATACGCGTTTTGAAGTAAGGTAATGTAATAATATATATAAGAAATGATAGTCTGTATTAATCTCACGAAAAATTTTTGAAAAATATATAAACACTTGTCCAAATATAAAGCAGAGTATTATAAAAAGTTCACACGAAAACTTGATGAACCGTAACACCTGTTGCATTAAAAAACACAAACTAGAATGTATGACACAAATTTTATTGTATTACACTAATGGTGCATTTTGCGCCATCTGATAGTACATTTCTGTATAATACTTTGTTATCGACATGACGTATTTCACCACAGACGAAGTGCAGAATAGATTTAACATTTAATGAAATTTTATGTCTTATGTTCTGAAATACCGATTGTGCAAAAAATCATGTCTTCTATGATTTGGAACGATGAGTGTAAAAATTTATATTCTATTCAATTAAATAGTAAAAAAAAAAAAAAAAAAAAAAAAAAAAAAAATAGGAAATTCAAAACAATTGGTTAACAGATTTTAAAAATAATTTTTTTGATATATCTTTTTATAAATATTTCTATTGCACTATTGCAAATATGTATAATAATATAAAGACAATTTGTAATATATGGAAAAATTAATTTATACATAAAATATATAGAAAAAAAATTATATATTCTCAATACATATAAAAGTATAAATATAAATATAAATATATAAATATATATATATATATATTATATATATATATATATACACATATATATACACATATATACATATATAATATTAATATAATGTATAAATATATAAAGATAGATATGTATGAAATATATATAATTAAGACATATAAAAAAATTTAATTGAACAAAAAAATATGTTAAAATTTTTAACTAAGCTAAATTTTTAACAGATTAGACAATAAACAGAATAGAGATAAGGATAAGAATTAGGGAAGAAGCGCCAATCTCTAGAATGCCGCAAATGAAACATACAAAGAAAAGACAGTAAAATAGTAAGAGAAGCAGAGATAGAATAAGAATGGACTATTAACATTATCTTTTGAGTACTTTTGAAAATATTTTTTTGAAAAGATATCTTTGCATTCAAAAGATGGCGTTGATTTCCTAATTTTTATCTTATCTTTGTCTTTCTCCCACTGTTTGCTTTCCTTGTTTATATTTAGTATGATAGGCAAATCAACAGACATGAAATGTCAAACTCACAAAAATATTAACCATTTTGAGAATGATATTAAAATAATAAGAGAATTCCAATAGTCGAGACATTAAATGCAAAAAATATATTTAATATTCTGTTATTCTATTTCTAATAAATTAAATTGCAAATAATAAAAAATCCACAAAATAAAAAATTAAAAATTTCAATTACAATATAATATTAATATTTATAATAATATTTTAAATAAAATTATATATATATTTTTTTATTATTGTTATTTTTTATTATTATTTTTTTATTATATTTTATTTTATTATTTTTTATTATAATATATATATATATATACATATATATATAATATTTGATTTTATTTGATTGTAATATATGTAAAAGTGAAATTAAAATAATAATTAAAAATTTATAATTCTTAAACAAAAATATGAATAAATATATCATTTTATTTATGCAAGTTGAAACAAAACCAATCATTAAAAGATGTATGTCTTTTTCGACATTTATTACCAATAATATATGGTATATGCCAATAATTGTTTTGTTTTTGAACAAATGCATCAATTTGTGTTTCTGAATTTAATTTTCTTAAACCCCTATATTTATCAAAATAATATTGATGCAAAAATTGCCATTTATTAAAGATAATATTTAGTTCAGTATTTTGAATAGCAAATTTATATTGACGCAGTAAATCCTTAGTAACAACTATAACATCTTTTCCACTTAAAAATGCTGCATACAATATGAATAAATCATCATGTGACCTATAATATTGGAATAACAATATATTATATATATGAAACAATAGAAAAAAAATATGTATATAAATGCAATACAAACCAATTGTTAACAAAGAAACAATTTTCTATGTTTATATGTAAACTTTTGAAAAAATTCTTCGTATGTTTTCTTCCAATGATCAGAATTTTTTTATTCTGTTTTTCGCAAGATTTAATGAATTTTATGATCTAAAAAATATATATATATATATTAATTTTTAATTGATTATTTATATTTTATTCATAAAAAAAATATATTCATCATAGCATCATAAATTTATTTATGTTATTCACTGTAATTATCAATTATTTACCTTATACTTGAATATCATATCATCATTTCGAATAGTATAAATAATATTTAATCCATCAATAATAACATCAAATGGTTTATTTTTTTCGACAAACATTATATATTCTTTTATTTCTTCTGGCAAAGTTATATAATACATAGCAGGTTCAAAAAATTTTTTTATAGCTTCAAATAAATATTTATAATCTTCATCAGATATATTTATTTCTGATATTTTTTGTTTACAGTTTGTGCATCTTAAACTATATAAAAAAAAATAAAAGAATAAGAAACAAGAAATTATTTATTACTATTTATATTATAATTATTAAATATATATACTTTGATATTGTTGTTTGACTAACAGAACAACCATGTTCGATACATGCTGTCATATATTCTGATATAACATTCTGAGTAGGTTTAACACCATATTTATTCCATAATGTGAATATTTTCTCAATTTTTTCAATAAATGTATGTTTATCTTTTAAACAATATTTTAAATATGTAATACATATATCTTCATCAGGTCCTACAGTTTTTTTCATAGTATTAATTAAATATTCATATGCTAATTTATCTTCTTTATGATCAAATAAATATGCAATTAATTCATTATATGCTTCTTGAAGCAAATTATTATCATTTGCTTCATATTTTTCTATAACTTTAATAGCTTCCTTCCATTGGCCTATTTTACATAAGCTTTTAACAAGAATATTACTCATTTTTGTATTAAATGAAGTATATTGAATCATAAGTTTATCGTATAAATTTAAAATATGTTTTTTATCTATTTCTGTAATTAAATCATTTTTTAGATGATATAATTTCAAATATTTTGTTGTGGTATGTACTGTAGGATTATAATTATTATCTTCTAAAAATTTATAATAATATATTCCAAGATTTGGATGATTCTTATAATAGAACATATCCAAAATAAAAGAATCGAGAATTTGAAAAGAATTACATTCTGATTCGATATAATTTCTTACATTTTTCCACATTTCTTTGGATGTGCTATTATTATGTTCTACTAACATATTCTTATAATTTTCCATTAAATAATTCCAAAATTTATCAAATTCTTTTATCTTTTCTATTGAATAAAATTTTCTAACCATGTTATGTAATAATATTGATGTTTGGCGTAAATATAAAATCATGTTATTCAAATTAATATAAAATCTTCTAAGATTTTAATTTTATATAGTTTCCTTGATCTTACTAACCTAAATTTGTAAATCTCAAAAAAATCTCAAATTATATTTTAGAAAATATTTAAAATATTAAAAATATCATATATTTAAAATCACATGTTTCATTCACTTGGTTGTATAAATAAATAAATTTCTCTTCACTATTCACTTTTTATTGATAAGTTATTTACATATAAAAATAAACTTGCACGTGCACGTAATTACGTCAATGTTAAATGAATTTTGAAACAATATCAATCAATATATCATTCAGTATAAGATGAATTGAAAGAAAAAAAAAAATGATATAATTATATGTAATTTATTTTAAATATAAATTATTAAAAATAATTATTAATTTTAATTAAATATAAATTTATAAATTGTATATATTTTTTTAATATAATTGATTTTGAAGTCGGAATCGAATCAATTAATAAGGAATTTAATTAAAAAATATAATTTTTTTTTAAAAATTTAAAAATTTAAAAATTCAAATTTTTTTAGTCTTTGTCGCCCACTAGTTACAACGGTACTGAGACTTGACATGCGATCTGTGATGTCAAGTGTTTCTGAAACAATATAAGGAGAATTGATAAAACCAGATATAGTTCAGTCTCAAGCCTTACGCTTGCACATCTCAAGTTGATCGTGCATCGTGCAGCCCAGTTTCTTTATAAATCGTGATCGTACGTGCTACGAAACTGGGAACAGTGAACGTCCAAGACGATCACGCAACAAAGAAGAGGGACATGTTCTGAGGAGGATTGCGACGAGGTAAGAGATTACGTTAAAAAAAGTTAACGTGTGATAAAAATATTCGAAAAATTCATAATTACAAGCAATTAGTTTTGCGAATAACTAATTTTAATTTTACGATTTTATGATTTGTAAGCGTTTTAAAATAATAACGGAAATCCTTAAATAAATTCAAAATATAATTGTTTTCAAAAATTCATTGTAAATTCATCGTCAATAAAATCTTTCCTTCGTAGAATTCTTTATTTTAAAAAATTATGTATTTGTATTATTATTGTTATCTAGAAAACACATATTTGCATATTTGAATAGAAGAAAGAAAATAAAGAAAATTGTTTTTCGTTTAATGAAAAAAATTATTTAAATTATCATCGATTTTGAAGAACAAAATATCGACTTTTGATTCTTTTGAATCTATTAAATTGAATATCTTAATAATACCTAAATAATTTATAATATAAAACAATTGAAACATATCATATTCACAGTATATCATGAAAATTCATGGTATTAGAAAGTAATAATTATTTTTCCAAATAATGTGAATTGAGTTATCGATAATTATTAATTTACACGATTTTTATGACAAGATTTAAAATAAGAAATATGCGTTATCGAGACAGTTTTACGCAATGCTTCACATTCTCTAATGTTCGATGACATAGCAAGAATTCATACATTTTTAATCGTAAACATATTGAAGAAAAATAATATTTCTTGAATAATATTTGAATAAAAAATAAATCTTTTTAAATATTTGATAGTCCACAAAATATATTTATCTGACATAAAATTTGAGATTTTATTATACGACCATTTAATCATATGATTTAATAATCATACGATTTATTTAAATAAAAAGATAAAATTATATTGTATTTTATTATTATATTTTACTTCGATTAAATGGAATAATTTTAATATCGAATTTTTTTTCGAAAAAAATATTTATGAAGAATATTCGAAAAAAAATTTCTATATCTTGTTTTCTATGTTTGTTGTAACATTTCGTTAAAAAAAAAAATTTATCTTTTAAAGGATCATGTTAATTATTTATTTATATATGATAAATGCATTTGCTTTCGTTTTTTACATAACACAATATGCATACATACATACATAGAAATTCTGAAATATTATATTTATCGATAAAATAGTTAATAAAAATTATTGCCGTTAAACTTGTTTTTCACATTAATATAATCATAATCCATCTAACAAAGAAAGTTATACGGATATAATAAATTAATGGTAACGAGTGAGATGAGTATTATTCTCGTGAAAGAGATATCGATTGATGCGAGAAAAACGATATCAAAGTTTGATATTATTTTTTTAGACATTTTTTTAGATTTGTTTTGATGATGAAATAATTAAAATAAAGGTAAATAGGAAGGGGGGGGGGAAAAAAATAATAAAATCATTTCGATTATTAAGTATTTATAATCTCTTCAATATACATAATTAAAAATTAATTATAAAATACCGTTTATATTTGCTTTTTTAACTTTTTCTCTTAATTTTTGCTTTTCACAAATAACTTAGATCACGTGTCATGAGATAATAGATGGATAATTTATTCTGTTTAAAAAAAACACTTATATATCGAGTACATATAATAATGAAAAAAAAAAAAAAATATTCGCGATTATTATTATTATCATTAAAAATAAAAAATATTTAATCGAATAAATTATTAATTTCAAATGCAAATCTTATATCTTTCAAGGTTTCTGACACACCAGTGGTACAGTGAATTTTTATTTATGGAGAACTACACATCGGACTCGAGCGATTCGGATTCCAGTACCAAAACATTGGATTTATCCTATTTGATGCTCGACACTCAACTATTAAACGATCATTTCATCAATACGAAAAATCCAGAAAATGTAGACACATTGTTACTCCATCAAAATCGATTGAACAACATTCCACAGATGATAGTTAGGTTCACGAACTTGAACTCATTGGACATATCAAATTGCGGCCTTCATCGACTCCCTGATTTCCTTGGGGATTGTCCTCTCACGTGTTTGGTGGCTAAGCACAATAATTTGACGAATGATTCGTTGCCTAAAAATTTTCAAAATTTGTCGAGACTCAGAGAGCTGAATCTGAGCGGTAACAGATTGACAAATTTTCCACTGCAAATTCTAGATCTGACAGAGATTAAATATCTGTATTTGGGTGGCAATCAAATCACTGAGATCAGCAAAGATGTTTGGAAATTGCAAAGGTATTTTTCAGTTCATTTGTCTGGGATAATTTAATCCTCGAAATTAATTAATCAAATATTTCGATATTAAAGTATAAAATTTTCTTTGCGTGCGCCAAGAGGCATAATCGTAAAATATCAAACATAAAACTTAAAACGTATACACATCGAGTATTTAAAAAATATTTCGATTTATCTTTTTATTTTAATAGAATAATTGATAATAAGAATAGAAAATGATAAAAAAATGAATAATTTTATTTGAAGATTGCACGTTTTATCGATGGGAGGGAACAGATTGACGGAAGTGCCATCCACCTTAGGCGAGTTAATGTCTCTTCAAGCGTTGATATTATGCGACAACATGCTGGAAAGTTTACCTAGTTCCATAGCAAAATTGACCAATTTGAAATCATTGTTACTTCACAAGAATAGATTGAGAACATTGCCTACTGAAATCATCACGTTAAAATGTTTGACAGAGGTGATATAAAATTGTATATTCAATAAAAATAAAAATATATAATACGAATTACTTATTTGAATTTACTAATCTTAATATATTCTATGTAAATGTATATGCGCGAAGAAAAATTAAAATAATTGTAATATCCTTATATATAATAATTGTAATATGTTTATTTTTATTTATTTTTTTGGTTCAGTTATCTTTGAGGGATAATCCATTAGTGGTAAGATTCGTATCGGATATGACACACAATCCTCCATCCCTATTGGAACTGGCCGCTAGAGTGATAAAGACCAATGACATCCGATACGATAGGGAGAGTATACCAAGGAACCTGGTGGAGTATCTAAACAGCGGTCACCGTTGCGTCAATTCTAAGTGTAAAGGTCAGCGCCTAGACTTGTATAAAATTCAAAGTTCAATCAGCTTGACCACTAGCGGACATCCATTTTTTTTTTTTTGATTCATGATCGGCAGCGTTATCACGACTTGCACATGTATACATGCACTTCTCCTTGGAATTGTTTTCACATTTCAATCTCGTGGAGCAAGTTGAAACAATACACAATAATACGAAATACACTATTGAAATTGCATTTTTCATTTTTCTCGTTACATCTTTAAAAAATAAAAAATTTATTCGTTTCGTTACAGGTGTATTCTTCAATAATAGAGTGGAACACGTCAAGTTTGTCGATTTCTGTGGAAAGTATCGTCTACCTCTGCTACAATATCTTTGTAGCAGGAAATGTATAGAATCACGAGATGGAGACGAAGTGGTCAGTGGTGCGATGATAAGAAAAGTTCTTTTGGGCTGATTACTATTAAATGAAATTTTACAACTACAAGATTTGTTATCTTTCCGCTCAAAGGAGATAGGAAAATATCGATCGATCAACGATTGTCAAATATTCAATTTCAAGTATCAGTTTCAAGATTTTTGAAAGTTAAACGGAGGAGGATAAAGGAGGGATTATGACTTGCAATATAATTGCACATTTGAATAGAAAATTCGAAACTCGAGACATATATATATATATATATTGTAAATTGAACATAAATTAAAGAAAAATTTCAATCAAACGATAATATCGTTGATAAGTCTTTCAAAGCTGATGAATCGTTTTTGCCAAAATTGCCATTTTTAACATATATATGTATATATATACACAATGGGAACGAGGAAAAAACATTCTTTATAAAATATATGTATATTTGACCGAATTTTGTTTCGTTTGCATACTTACTTGCTCCGTATCCGCATCCATCCATCGTGCAAAACTGTAGCGAATGAAACCGCAGTGTTTGTTAACGTTATCGTTTTATTGTTAAATAAACCACAAAATCTACAATAATAATAATCATATTATCATATAGAGTCTCCGTAGGAACGGAGGCGTTCGATCCTCGCTTAAAACACATCCATTGATTTATTTCTACGATTACCGATTATCGACTATTCTCTCGTGTGTGAACCGTGTAAAACTGAAAACATCCGTCAAGTGAACGGTAGCGAAGCGAACGATGTTACTTTATTATCGTGATTCGTCGATATAGAGTCGTTTAAGATTCATAGAGAACATCGTTATTTTTTTTTTTTTTTTCTTTTTTTTTTTTTCATTTTTCCCCCTTTTTTCTTTAATAACTCGAAGTAAGTCGGTGACAATCTTCGTGAATATAGCAATATCGTATTAAGAGTTCGCTAGTCTTTTTTTCTTTTTCATTCTGTTTTTTTTTTTTTTCTTTTTTTTCTCTTTAATACCGCGTATAATGTGTTGCTGTGTTTATTAATTATCTATACATACATATGCATATTCATATATATGCGCTCTGTTATATTATACATTACATACATGTATATGTACATACATGTATGTACATACTTCGATTTTCCACCCCTCCCTCCCCCCCCTCCCCTCCCCTCCCCCTCCCTTCGCCGCTCTATTTCTCCAGCGAACGAGTATTCTTTGTGTTCACACGCGTCAGGCACTCCATTTCGCTCGCACACAGCTGCACGTTCGTTTCTTCTCTTTTCGTATCACGATCTTTTTGGGATCGATGTATTTTCTTAATTTTTTTTTTTTTTTTTTCCCCCTTTTTTTTTCATAACTAACTTCTCGTTACTCTCTTTCATTTTTCTTTCTTTTCGTTTTTTTGCGAATCTCACGCCATTCACATTTAATACATTCACAGATTCTTCTTTTTCCTTTTTTTTTTTTTTTGTTCACAGATTATCTATATGTATATTAACATAATTTTCCCTAGTATAATCGCGAGTAACGATAACCCTCTCGGTATGGCATTTTTATGGTTGTCAGAGGTGTGAACGAGATGTTTTCGAGATGATTAATAGTGCGTTATGGACGTTTTGTTGCTTATTTTACAGAATACGTGTAATAAAAATGAGGTTGTGGTACAAGTTCACTGAGACTTAGCTTTAGATTCGGATCGACGAACGGGTATGCTCACCATGGTTGCCGGCTATAGCCGGCAAGCGAATATAAAAGCGTACCGATTTGCCGACTATAGCCGTCCACTATAGACGCTATAGTATTTTCGAGTAAAGCACGAAAGATTGATTATAGTCAACAAACTCCTAAATATTACACTTTTTACCGCTGATTATATTCGACTTGTAGCTTAAGTAAGCGTATAATGACGGTCGACTATAATCGACTTGAAGTAACGAAAATACGTTAACCAGGGCCATAGGAGGCCATCGATTATAGCCGACGAGTTAACTTAGGTGAAAGACTTTAGTTCCGGACTATAATCGTCACGGCGAACATATACAGATTATAGGGATCGCGCGAAATATCAGGCACGAGCCTACTATATACTGTACGCGTTCTGTTACTCGGCACGATAACATGTTTCAAGGGGGGGGGGGGGGTATGTGATCGTATATAGTCGACGTATATAGACTCAAAGGAGCATACTATGATCAGTGAAAAGATCCACGAGACCGTCAATTATATTAAAAATCCATGAAGCACACTCGACTATCCGTGACTATACTTGGTTCGCAGACTTGTTATACATGGCCATACCGGAAGGGGTTAAACACTCATTCCATAGGCGAATGTGCATCTCTAAACGTGGACGCCGTTACATGACTATAATCTCTCCGGGCTGCGAACGACCGTGTATAGTCACCTCCGTTCCTCTTCCTCCATCGTTCCATCGCTCTCCTCGTTTTTTCTTCCCCTCTTTCTCGCGCAAAATCCTTTCGCTCCTAAGAATCTTCATCCTTTTTTTCTTTTTTTTTTTTTTTTTTTTTTTTTTNTTTTTTTTTTTTTTTTTTTTTTTTTTTTTTTTTTCCCCCGACTTTGGCGCAAGCGTGTTACAGAGAACGGATAGATAATAATAGGAGGAAGAGGATCGTGTTAAAAACGGATCGGCTATCAGCAATCATCCGAACGGAACTCGATTCCGATTTCAATAATATTCCAATCGAGAAATCATGGCTGATCTCATTCGGAAAAGCGAATAATGGCCAATTCTCGAGTATTTATATGGGACTCGAATTATCGTTCGACAGAGATGTAAAAAGAAAAGAAAGAATAACGCGGACGATTCACGCTGAGAACGCGGCATTCCACGTTAAGGAACGTTTCTTTTTTCTTTTTTCCTTTTTTTTTTTTCTTTTTTTTTTTTTTTTCCGTGGAACGAGCCAAATCAACGATCGATTCTGTCGGATAAATTGGCGAGGGGATATACATGTGTCATGTATACTTCTGAAGAGGATGTCCTATAATCATAGTAAATGAGTCGTTCAAGCGTTATAGATATCATGAAAGAGACAAAGAGATAGCACGTACGTTTCTCTTTTTTTCGATTATATGTCGGCTATACATATCGTATCGTAGAAACGAGAGATATTAGCGTACGTTACAACTGATATTGCCAAAATATCACCACTCCATCTCTCGAAATCGAAAATCTCTCTAATCTTCGAAAATAGTGGTACAAGGTGTTTTTAAATATCGATCGTCTACTAGTTATGGTTTTTTTTTTTTTTTTTTTTTTTTAATTCTTCGCAAGTTTCTCCTTGTCATTGTTTTTTTCTTTTTTTCCTCTTTTTTTTTATCTTATGCACAGGTAATACGCGTGAAAGTAATACGCTCACTACGGATAGAATCGCTATTGTGGTGCAAAAGTAAAAAGCTTATAAAAATTCGATCGTGTATGTATGCATGTATGTATGTATGTATGTATGTATGTATGTAAGATCCGCCTCTAAAAATTCTGCTCTAAAAAAATCTCCAAGACTCGATCTAATCATTCAGCTTTTTCCCCTTCGACTAATCGTCGAAAGATCGTATTGGATATTAACCCTTGACTGGTATCGTTGGACTTTTTTTTTAAGCGACATTGCTTACACATTTTCGATCATCTATCGAATCATAATAATATATTTCTTCGTATTTATTTACGCGTAAAAACGCGTATCTGTGGTGGCACTTTTATCCTTATTAAGCGAAATTAAGCGGAACAAAAAGTTGGAAAGCGAAAGAAATGCACGAGACTCGCCGCCGATCATCGAATGATACCAGTCGAGCGTTAAATGGCGTAAAAAGGATATATTGTTCAATTTCATCCATTCGTTTCTATTATTTACACGCAATAAAATATTTCGCGATCGAGATCGATAAAGGGGTGCGCGCTGATCAAATCATCACCACTACTACTATTGAATCAATTATATTGACGCATTGTCACGCCAGTGTATCGACAGTGTATCTACAGAAGTGTATCGAAGATGAGCTATACATGGTACAACATTTAGAATTATCACCGATCGAATATAAGAATCTGATCTTATAAGGATTATTCACGAATGAAAGGTGTCTTTTAACAAATAACGTAAGAAAGACACGGTAAGAAAAGCAGAATAGGATTACAAAGAGTACTTATACACTGAGCCTGTGTGACACGTGAAGTTTAATACGAAATTTTATTATTGCGTCCTTCGGATTTTACATGCGAAAAAAAATTACTCGTGACAAGAAAGGAGTTACAGTTTTTTTTTTTTTTTTCTTTTTTTTTTTTTTGTCTAACGATTGTCTCGAACCAATCAATCAGAAACAAATAATCAGTTTATTCATCGACGAATTTCGTATTAATTGATCACTATTATAACTTAAAAATATATATTTGTCCTTAAAAATATCGTATACGTGTGCATATACGATATTTATATACCGCAATGAAACGAACTTACTTTTTTTTTTTTTTCTTCTTCTTAGTTTAGATCGATTATTCGCCATTTTTAGGATGTGTACGACACGAAAAACAGGAAAAAATTAAAAAAATGATATCGTAACGATAATTCAACAATTCATCGTAATTGAAGCGTTTTCCGTTCATCATGCGTACAACGTTGGAAATATACAGTGCTTGCTACACTACTTTAGCCACGATCGTTCAAAACGTGTATATATTTCCGATTGAATTTTCGAATTTCTTTCTAACGAATGATACATCTGAATGAATACATTTCAGAATTAATGTAGGGGGGGGGGGGGGAAGAAAAAAAGAAAAAAAAAAAAAAAAAAAGAATAACCTTCACAAACAGAAATAGAATTAATGAAACATCATGGATAATCGTGATATAATGACTCTTAAAGAGATCTTTAATTTTTCTTGCATGATAAAATTATTATCGTTCTTGCTCTACAAAGATACTCGACAGGAATATATTTTACGATCTGTAGCTTCGTACCGTAAGCGTCGAATCGAACGGAAAATAAATGATTTGCGATTGAATTAACGATCGAAAGCCATTGCTAATTTCCTTTGATCGATACACAGCTAATTAAATATACTTATAAATATACTCCTCTCGAGAAATATTTTTTTTTTTCTCTCCTCCTCTCTTCTTCCCTCCTTCCCTCCCTCTCTCTCTTTCTCCACATATATACATATGCACATCACACACTCATACATATATGCATATATATATATAATATATAATATATAACATATAATATATATATATATATATATACACATATTAAATTACTTTATTAACGTTTTTTTTTCTCTTTACACAATTATTACAATTTATTTACTAGATGATTCGAAACGGTGCGACATGATGATAGTAATAATAAGAAGACAAAGAAAAGAACTGGTGATTTTTATGTGGTAACGGTAGTGAGAATTTCAGGCAATCGATGACAATAGTTGTTCGAATAGTCAATCACTCTTTTTTTTTTTCTTCCCTTTCTCTCCATCTAACTCTTCTTATTTTTCACTTTCTCTTTCTCTTTCACACCCTCATTTACTTCCTTTCTCTCTTTCTCCTACTTCCTCTTTTTTTTTTTTTTTTACAATAAAGTTAATCATTAATCGCTATTGTTAAAAATTAATTCGTATATTTGTATAAATATATACACATATATACGTAATTTAATAACACATATTACGCGTATATGTTTATATAAGTCACATATATAATAAGTATTTTTATATAGTATGAACTTTTAATATTTTTTATAGTTTTCTTCTTCGTATCGTTACTTATTTACATTTTGTAAATGTCTGTGTCTGTAATGTCTATGCTTGGCGTACTTTTTTTTGTAATAGAGTAAAATCTAAACCAAAGGATAAAACAAAATAAGAATATATCGGAATTGATTTACATTGTTAAAATTCCAATTTATCTTTTATACATATATAGATTTGATCCCTTTAATCATACGACGATTCGTCTTGTTTTTTTTCTTTTTTCTTTTTCTTTTTTTTCTAGACTATATAACTTAATTTTCTTTCAAGTTCACGCTGAAATGATATTCAAAGTACGCAAAATTACAAAACAAAAGAAAGATTGAATTAGAACTAAATCGATATAAATTTTTCTTTATTAATAGAATAATCTCGACAATTAACCAACAATTTACTCTTTAAGAAGTGCAAGATTTCTTCGTATTTGTTTTTTAAGTTATCCCTTCTTCTCCCCTTCTTCCCCATATAACATAATTTGTGTTTTGCTTTTTGCGGCTGCTAATCATTATTCTTTCGTCCGTCTAAAATTTAAAAATAATAATTTCCCTTTTCTCCAAGATTTTTCCAACACTCGCCAAATATTGCCAATTCTTTTTCTTTCTTTCTTTCTTTCTTTTTTTTCTTATATCCAGAAGATATCAATTGACAAAGGGAATTTAAATACATCAATCTTACTATAGGTATTGTTCAAGCATATCAATAATAATATCATAGGATATGCTTAGAACTTGCCGGATGTATCACGGCAAATGAAAGACAAGATGGTTTCATTAAGCAGAATGTTTAAATAATGATACATTAAAGTTTTAATAAGTAATTTTTCTTTTTTTTTTTCTTTTTTCTTTTTTCTTTTCTTTTCGACAAAGATCAAAATTAGGATAGAAATAAATCGAAAGAAATAAATTATTAATATAATTCTAAATTCTATAATTCTATAATTCTAATGAATAAAAAGATGATCAATATTTTTACATCGATAAAATTATTGATTTATGCTTAAAGAAATGTCGGAAAAATACCGTTATCGATAAAAATTCCATGATCGATGTATATCTCGACGAATATTCAGATTCGTTTCTTTTTTGTTTTTAATGCGATAAGGGAAAATATCATTGTACGATTGTCAAAACGTAAAGATTAGTTTTCTTCGGTATTAAAAATGTATTTCCGTTTTGCGTGTTCGGATTAGAAAACAAAAGAGTTCGATAAATTTATCCGATTGTTCATATAGCAATGAGAAGCAATTTAAATAATTGAAGAAAAAAAAAATTAATCGTAATTTAAAAAACGTATCGTAATTACAACGCGGATAAAAATTTTGAAACGAAATATCTTAGCATATCTCTTTCTCTCTCATTTTCGCTCACTTACTACTTTCATTCTGTCCCCCCTTCTGTCACACTCCCTTTCACTTTTTCCGTTATTGATCTATCATCTGTCTTCCATTTTGTTCTTTCTCCCTCTTATTTTTCCTATTTTCTTAATCGAGTCCTTCTGTCCTTTCTCTAAAAAAGAAGGGAACTGAAATAAATCATTCGGTATTGACTTTTATCGATAGCCTCCTTTTTTTTTTTTTTTTTTTTTTTTTTTTTTTTTTTTTTTTTTTTGTAGTCTCTTGAGACACGCGATATGATATGTAGAAACGTGTAAAATGGCGGCTAACTCACGCGCAACATGCTCCGAAAGATCCAATTGCATAGAGGTCGTTTTTTCATCATTTAAAAAAATCGAAATTCATCGTGCGAAATATACAAAACTCTTTTTGTACACTTCTATTTCAGTTTTTTCGCCGCATAATTCTGCAAGACAATCAATTAACGAAGCGACCATCTTGATCTTCGACATCTCGATCAGGAAAGTCAGAAGTCGCTCTATCCGACAACGTCGTTTCTTTCAAGAACATATAAAATATGCATGGTGATGCGTACGAAAGAATAATCTATATAATTCGCTTATAAGTCTGTACTTACTACTGTCTGTTCTTCGCATGCTGATACAGAAATGAAAAAGAAACGTTACAAACATTTCTAAAATCCTGTTGACACAGAAGAAAAATAAATTGTGACAGGTTTAAAAAAAGAAAATCGCACTCTGTAGAGTTTCGTCGCGTAGGATGAAAAATATCGCTCGGTTGTAGCCGAGAGTCCGTTAAAGAATATACAACGATAATCGTGTGACAATTAAATACGTAACGAATAAAGTACTCGAGTTAATTAGCGTTCATTTCATTAAATAGAGGATAGCGATTCGAATCGTCCAGGCATGGCTGACAATAGGCACGAACGAGTGTGTACGTAATACGAGAGTGTTTCACGTGTCGTGTCCCAATAAATAGAAATTTTCTTTTTGTGTCTCGTCCAAGATCAGATTATCAGATACATATTTCCTTTTTCTTCTTCTTCTTTTCTAATCGTATTGATGTTCGCAACATATCTCACGTCGGAAACATAGTCTTAGTCGATAATAGAGATTGTGCACGCAAATTATTCTTGTAATGTGTTGTGTTGTGTGTGTGTGTGTGTGTGTGTGTGTGTGTGAGTGAGTGTGAATGTTTAATCATGAATCTTCCACGTGAAATTTTTCTCTTGTTTGCGAAAATATCGATCAACGCTCGAATTTTGAACGCAATAAAAAATATTCCTAAATGTTTCGCGTATTTTTATACATTACAATTATAATTATTGGAATTATCTTCGTCATTCCCTTTTCGCCGGTTCATTCGTCTCATACATTTTGGAGGGAACTTGCAACTTTTCTTACTCTCGTTCTTCGCGAAAAAGCCTAGCGATTTTCTTATTCCTCTGTAAAATCTTTAAAAGTCATCGATATAAGTGTCAAAAAGCAAATAACTCTTATATATCTCTTTAATAATAGCTATGAATGTGTGTATTTGTATGTATGTGTGTATTTGTATGTTCCGTGAATGATAAAATGATCGACGACACAAGCGACGTGAATACTACAAGACACAATGTATGATGGTACATATCGTTTGTTTTCTTCTCAGCTAGAAAAAATTCGCGTTCATTTTTTTTTTTTTTTGTCGTTTTGTCTCTTTCTTTCATTGTTTATAGCAATTATCGTTTAAAGTTAGTTAGATTACGGTTCCAGTTCCTATAATATATATACATTAAATTCAATATTTTGTTGTTATTTTTGGCAATAACGTGGCAATCAAGCACTCGCACACGCCACTCGAAATTTGGGGGTATACCCAGGCGAACCCGTTACAAACAGGGGAACTATATTTTAATAATTCTATAATGATATTTTCGTGTCATTCGTGTTTCAAGCAAACAAAGCTCAAAATACCAGACGGTATCGCCATTCGCATAAAGTTGAAAAAATTTACAATTAAGGGACTGTGTATGTATCGTGTATGTTACGTTGCTTATGGACATCCTCCTCAAAAGAATATCAATATTCCTTTCATTCATTCGTTCTTCTATCTTGATCTACTTGAACTTTTTTCTTTTTTTTCTTTTTTTTTTTTTTTTTTTTTCGTTTTCTGTTAAGGCTAGTTTCTAACACGTGAATTCTTTCGGTTTTTCCGTCTCTTTCTTTCTCTTTGTGTCTTTCTCGTTTTGTTGTTTAATTAACGTTAGAAATAAAAAGTAGCTTAAGCCATGTTCGATTGGCCGGGGTCTGTGTTCTTTGAGGTGGATAACGTGGCGTTCACGTTATTATCACTAACGTTACCACTGCTACCCGCGACAGGTTCCGACTGGCCTCCAGCATTCTCCGAAGTCTGCATGTACTTCGGCTTTAGGATCGAGTTTAAAGATGGCTGAATCCGCAGCTCGTATTCTGTAAAGTTAAATAAAGGGGGAAGTTCTCGGCCATTTGGTAATCGCGTACCCTGCTCCCGAAGTTCGTCGAAGAAAGGATGGGCGCATGCTTCTAACGGTGTGATTCGGCCGGATGGCGTATACTCTAGGAGACCAGCGACTAATTCCATCGCTTCGGGTGGCGTGCGTGCCCTGAACACCTGCAAACACCCAAATTACGTTATTCGCTCTGCTTTTTCCCCTTTTCTTTTCTTTTATCATTTTCTATCATGGTTAATCCGTGGTTAACAAGGACAAGTCTCGAATTCATCGTGTTTTTTTTTTTTTTTTTTTTTTTCAATTTTCATTTCTGTTCTCGTAAGAATATTCGGTTAGAAAGAAAAGATTTAATTTTTCTTGGCATTTCCTTGCAAAGAAAGATTATAGTAGAGGCAACAAGTTTTATCCGTTCAAAGATCTGAAAATATCTGTTCGATTATTTTCCATAATATTTCCATCCATATGGAGATGAAACAACGTTGTTTGATTAAAGATTAAATAGAAAATACTCTTTCGTTTTAAAAAATTAAAATACAATATAAAATATAGGTAATTTTCAAAATTAACAATTTTCCCACGATTCTTTTTACATGATTCTATCGCTTTTCCTTGATTCTCGTCACGTGCAGCAAATTGTCGAATTGTCTCTTGTGTTCTTTCAAACATTCCTCACTTGTTACGAATACATTAGCATCAACAATCGTTCGATTACTTTTCGATCGTTCGATACTTTTTAATCGTCGCCCATACAAATTTTACCATATCTAATTAAATATATTTATTCGTACATTCATCGAATCGATTGATATAAAATATCGAAACGTACAGAATCAATAATAAAAAATTATCGAGAAAAAGATAGATATACAAGAAATAAAAATCTTAACCGAACAAAAACTTTTGCCTCTATTATACGAAATCACACAGCATTATATAGATTGAATGGAAACCTATAACGGCAAGCAATAAAAATACGGCAGCAACGCGTTTTTAAAATTTAAAAATTTCTGTCTGATCGGTGTATTAGGTGACGTTGTATTGTTATAATACTTGATCATTAGTAGATATGAGATGCTTCGACTTTGATTAAATTTTACATTTGTTTATGTATAATACAGTGTAAAATTTATCGATTCGGGATTTGGCATTTTGAAAAACAAAAAAACGCATCTGGTGTATATCGAATTTTTTTTGTTTTTTTTTTAACAAAACGTATTTACTTGAAAAAAAAAAAAAAAAGAAAAGAAAGAATTTTGGACGTAGAAGATAACGTAACAATTCGTGATCGATATAAAATAAATTATATCGAATATTTGGATGGAATAAAAACTGAGAAGAGGAAAAACGAATCGTAAGATGATTTCGTGATTTCAATTTTTTGTCATCTGTTGCAAGGTATAAAAAAAGAAAAAAAGAAAAAAAAAAAAGGGACAAAAAGAAAAAATATATTGAATCGATACGAATTATTGAATATCGATTTTGAGACATTAGGAGATATTTTCGTTCACCACCAGAACATTAGAGTAAGTGATATATACCGAGACTTTGAACGGGATTATTAATGTTAAAATGCTTTTTTCTTCTTCTTAAAAATGTTAATAATTAATTGATTAAAATAAAAAAATAACGACGATAATGAGTCGGTCGGAAAATGAAGATGAAAATGATAGAGAAGATGTACATTATACGTGAGTTTGAGAAAAGATGAACGTCGAGCGATTTGTGATGCAGAGAATCAAAATGAAGATGGTTTTCGTTTTCGTCGGGTTCATCATCCTCCGTTTAACGTAATTTAGCATCGTATCCTGATTATTTTTTATCATTTCAGATGCTGAAAATATTGGTTACGTTGGTTAGTAATATCACGGACTAGAAAAAGAAAGAAAGAAAAAAAGAGAGAGAGAGAGAAAAAAAGAAATATTTGCTAGCCAATAAGTGATAATATAAAGAGAAACATTGCGTTTTCAACAGGGGATCACTTACTCTAATCTTTTGGTGCTCCGTGGAACACTTTAGTCCACTCATTCGTTGAAGCATAAACTGTAACCACGAGTAACCATGTGTCGATGAATGTGATTAGAATCAATTCGTGTTGCAAAACCAATTAGATAGAACGAAATCTTACCCTCGAACGTTATCCTTCTTTTTTTTTTTTTTTTTCTTTTTCCCTTCTTACTTTTATATTTAATAAAAAACAATAGATACAAGAAACTTTATTAAACTTGTGCAAAGCAAATACGCATTGATTTCTTTCTTTTTTTTTTTTTTTTTTTTTTTCTTCTCAAAGTACAGTTTTACGTTCGATTATTCATACTTAACGATTTCAAGATATTTCTTATTTCTAGTTAAAAATAATATTTCATAAATAATAGTAATTTCTGCGAGTGTACCACCTACTCCGATAAATCATTGAAACGAGAGCGCATTGGCTCACTCGTTTCACCCATTAGTCATGAACATGTACGCAGTTACGAAATTAGACTAGGTAATAGACGAAGAACAGTGTCAACAACGGTACAATTACAATGAGCGCATATCACTATAACAATTATATATACGAGATGATGGTCTACCTTTTGCCATGGATGCGCTTTAATTTGTGGGAATTTGAACTCGGTGTAATTGGGGTTCATCTCACGTATCTGGTCACGTGTCGGGGTGCCGAGCACCTTGATGATCTCGACCAATTGATCCACTCCGCTGTCCCCTGGGAATATCGGTTGGCCGAGCAATAATTCTGCCACTACGCAACCTGCGCTCCAAACATCTGTAAACCGGATAACACGCGTTAATTTCGTACGAAAATGGAGGGGGAAAAAAAAAAAAAAAAAAAAAAAAAAAAAAAATTGAAAAGGTGAATTTTTAACAATCTCCGTATATCACGATAAATTTATAATCGTAACAAAAATTTGATTAATAAACATACCGATTTTTGTAGTATAATCAATAGCACCAAAGATCAATTCGGGCGCGCGATAGTAACGACTACAGATGTAAGACACATTGGGCTCCCCTTTGACCAGATGTTTGGCGGAACCAAAATCACAGAGCTTAAGAACGCCGGATTCCGGGTCCAGAAGAAGATTTTGCGGTTTGATATCCCTGTGGCAGATTCCCAGCGAGTGGATATACGCCAGAGAACGGAATAATTGATACATATACAGCTGAAACGAGATACAGATGTATCGGAATTGGAATCGCTAATCGAACCGAATCACGAAGAATTCTCGTTCTACTTCGGGGATATAAATCATTAGGTACATATTAACGAATAATCGATTTCGATATACGATTGTGTAATGTTTGATAAAGTTTATACGATTTTCGTATAGAGAGGCGATTCTTTAACCCTTTGCTCTCCAACAGTGACTCTCGATCACCGCTCGAGTTAACGCACTGACTCTCTGGCGCCATTGAGATTGTTGCGGCATGGCGACAATATTTATTTACGTTTGATCTTTTTAGAATATCGCTTCGTAAATAGATTCCTAAGCTCTTTATAATCTTATCTTATGGTAATCTTACGAGAACGCCGGGGGTCTGAGTGTGGAGTTGCTGGTTCGACTTGAGCGAAACAGGCAAAGGGAGTGCAAAGGGTTGCAAAACGCAGAAGCAAAGAATGTAAGGACTTACCTTAATGAAATTAATCGGTATGGTCTGCTTGCTCTTGTTATAATGCCGAGCAACTTTATACACAGTTTCAGGTATGTATTCCAGCACTAGGTTCAAATAAACCTCGTCCTTCTAAAAGAAATCCGCGGAAGATATGGTTAATAGAGATGTTAACGGAGATCGATACACGTACGTGATCAGATAGATGTGCCGTCTCAAAGGCGAGACACGAGACTCTAAAGCGCAAAATTGACTAGTCTAGTTTTTAAATCTAGTTTCTGTTCACGCGCCAAGTACCTTTGAGCCACGCACATACACGGACACGCGCACGCACACACACGCAATTCCAAAAGATTATTTTCTATAACTAGCCAAGCTGCATCAGCTACTACAATTTGAATAAAAAAATACGATCATTCAAGGCTATCGAAATACATTGCACGCTACTATATGGAGGTTAAAAAAGAAAAGAAAAAAGAAAAGAAAGAAGAAAGAGAGAGAGAGAAAATCAGAGTATGATAAATTTCTTTTGAAGTGGAGTGAACTTCTAATATGATTCGTGACGAGGGCAAGTGACCTTGAGTAACAACAAGGATCTTTGACTCGGGCTATAAATAACGGATTTAGCGTTCTCTACCTCGTCCACGCACAATTGGAATAACGAAACGCGTATCGATTTTTTTTTTTTTCTTCGTTTCTTTAATCTGCCTATATTTAAGCGGGATTGCCTAAATTTTCTCGAAAAAAAGGATCTCTCCGTGAAAACTACTGGATACTCGCTTATGTTCACTTACGTCCACATGAAAAACTGGATTAGTTGCGTTTAAGATGTTCTACAAAATAACACAACGTCGCATGCATTAAACAACGAATACTAGGCGTTTATTTAGAAACTTGTGTATCATTCGACAGAAATCAGAAGTATCGCTGCTATTACATATATATATATATATATATATATCTTGATCAAAAAATCTTGGAAAAAAAAAAAAAAAAAAAAAAAGATAGAAAATAAAGAATAAATAAAGAATCGAAATAATTTACTTAACGTAATAAAAGATACCTAATTTGCGTAACGTAAAAGGGGGAAAAAAGAAAAAAAAAAAAAAAAAAAAAAAAGAACATTTTCATAAATAATCATAATTTTGTACGTTCAAAATTTCAATCGAGTGTACGAAAAATAGGGAATAATGGAAATGAATAATTACCTTATCACCACTAGAATAGAAGAAATATTTCAGTTTCACGATGTTACAATGCTCGAGGCGCCGCATGATTTGCAATTCTCTGTTCTATAAATAAAAGGAAAAGAAAATTCGATTAATGCGTACATAATTCGTGTGTTTATTCCATCGCGGAATACGGTGACATTTTGTCGTATTATGCTCACGATAGCGAATTAAAAAGTTGGGCATTTTTCAAAACATTTTATCGAGATGAATCGACGATACGTGATACCAAGACTTTTTTCTCTCACCTTAAATCGTTTGTCTTGAAGAACTTTCTTGATGGCGACCAGTTCTTCCGTGTCGCATAATTTCGCTAGATATACAACGCCGAAGCTGCCGTTACCGATTACTTTAGTGTCTGTATAGGAGATCTCTTGGGGACGATCTGGACCAGCACCAGGTGTAGCCACCACGGTTGTAACTTTGTTGCCATCTCTATCTGCATTATACATCACACCGCCCATAGAAACAATCGAAAACCATAATGTAGAAAGGTAGAAGAAAGATACAGTGCGATTGTAGAGAGACACTAGCGCAAAACATGATAATAAAGTAATTTTATTCTACGAAGCAATGCCGAGTTATCAAGGTTGCGTTAAATAATCGATCGGATGGATCATGTGCGATGGATTGTTTAACGTTGTCCGTTATCGTTGTAGAAAAAAATTTATTCGTTGATTATACTTGATCCGATGATTTCGATTGATCGATTATCAAATCAAATTTTAACAGTGCAGAGACAATTGAGATGCAAATCGTAAAACAGCCGCATCGTAAGCAATTAAATTTTAATCGAAATACGAATAAAGCGTAAAATACAATTGGAAAATTGAAAAAGATTTTAGAAAAGTGGAAAACAAAGTTGAAGAAAAAAAAAAAAAAAAAAAAAAAGAACTCTCGCAAGTCTAGAGAATCATAGAAAATTTGAAGTATTGCGATTTATTTTTTCGATTATCGAATGAAATTTAAATATTTTATAAACGAGAAATGTAAAATATAAATATCTATCTATCTTTGTACATGACGTATCTCTTACATAACTATTATTGAGAATTGAATAAGAATAGGAAAATAAGAAAATTTATAATGATTTTAACATATGCTTCGTATATATTTGATTTGATCAAAAAATAATCTCAAAATTCGAAAACTCCTTTTCCAATAAAGATGATGAGAGACAGAGAGAAAGAGAGAAAGAGAGAGAGAGAGAGAGAGAGAAACTACAAGAAAAAAGTCTTCTAACTATTTATAACGCAGCGAGAAGTTAAAAGTCGGCAAATGAGGGAATGATAAAAATAAGAAAAAAAAAAAAAAAAAAAAAAAAAAATCGATGATTGCTCTAAAAATATATCTAATCAGATGTAGAATCGTCTCCGAAATCGAAATGTAATATAAGATTCTCAAATAATGCTATTTTTTTTATATTCGTTCGAATGATTTTTCATACTTGACTACATAATAACGTAGAAAAAAAAAAAAAAAAAAAAAAACTCTTGGATAGAAGAAATAAAATCCAAGCAAAGATTTCTCCTTCGAGCAGAATGCATGGGTGAATCGAATGAACGAAAGAAGAAGAAAAAAAAAAAAAAAATGGGGGAAAAAAAAAAGAAAAAGAAAAGAAAAGAAACATCGATTTGGCCACGAATCGCAGGAATATCAGAGTGAATAATCATGAAGAACGAAATTACAAGACATTGTTACGGTTTACACGATCGTATCGATCCTTACGACTGTCGGATTGTCAGCGGGCGAGAAGGATAACCTTGATAAGATACTACGACTAATAGATAATGCGATGTGCACGTTTGCGGACCGGTTCTCCTCTCATAGCTCGAACCATAGCTGTAAAATAGCATCGCGGCGCATAAATGAATCGGACGGGAATCGGGGATCGAGAATTGGCAGCCGGCAGATATCGGAAATCCGATCAAATTGTTACGCGATCGCGTTTACCGTCATCGGATGAATCGAAACGTGCGCAGCCAACGATAAGATGCCACGTGGACCATGCTTTACTTCTTGACATTTCGCCAACATTTTTCTCTCCGGTTAACCTTTTCCTCTTCCGTTACCGTTACTTCTTTCTCCTCCCCCGACAACAATATCATTTCTTCAAGTTTCGATTTAGAGTGAACGTGAACGCGCGACGGATCGATCGCGTTTCTCCTTTGTTTATTCGCCGTTTAATACACCAACAATTTCAATGCAAATGGCTCGAATCGATGAAGAAATTTCAGGTCGAACGGGTCCCCCGTTCCTTTATTACGCAACGCGCGAGTAATCGGCGTAAGGATTATAATCGTACAGATTTTCCTTCCTCCGCGTGGAGGAATTTATTTTTCACAACGTATCTCGATATGAGGAAAATACCAACAATTTTACACATCTCTTGACTCGAATATCGATCGACTCTCTCTTTAACCCTTACGAGGCGCCGACTATAGTCAACAAAAAGACTCGAATGTAGCGTATCTCTCGATTCTAATGACCCGTATTCGATTAATCTTACTAAAAATATATTTTGCACGTCGAAACATGTTTCCTCTGCTCTTTCCATTCCAGTATTTCTACGGTACAAAAGTATCGTGATAAAAAAAATCTTTTCTTATTTTTAACAACCGTTTCTTAAATCTACTTACTTGCAACAAATCTACTTATTTTCATATTATTTCTCCTATAATACGCAATTGTTGCTCAAAGAAAATGTGGATGCAAGAGAATGCAAGAGGTGGAAAGTCTTTTTTGAAAGACTGGAACAGCGCGAATTTATTTCGCATCGAACTTTCAATTAAACTCGTCCACGTTTGCAAACAGGCTGAAGAAGAGCGTCGAAGAGGCGCGAATATTGTTGGCTCGAGAATAGCGAGGGACGCTCGTATGCGAGAATCAATCCGTGAGGATTGGAAAAGAGAGCGGAAGAGGAATATTTTTGTTCGAGAGAAGGACGAGGGGAGGGGTTTTCTGAAACTAGTCGGACTACGTGCTCCCTATTTTCCGTATAGAGATGTAAAAGTGGGTCAAGCGGTGGCGATCTCTGGTTGCATCGGAGCCAGGTGGTAAATCCAGCATGCGACAAAAACGGCGGAACCAAGAGGCCTGGATGCACGTCACTCCTCCTCCCTTTTGCCGCGTTAAGCGCGCATCGGACGATTCGCCACCTTTTTTCTACCCGATCGAGAAATCACCTATCGCGTGACATTTTTTTACCTACGGTTCAACGATATCGTTCCAAGCCATTTCACCGTTCTTTTTTCAAATCGAGATTTCGATCTTTAATCAAATCGATACGATTTGAAGATTTTAACTAATCATAGGATTCACGATTTTCAAACATTCGTAACTGATCGAGCAACATTGTCCCTAAATTACAATTATACTCGTAGCTTTTAAAAAACGGTAAAAAACGATTTTGATATAATTTGAAATATTCGTAAAGACTTGCGCGAGAAACTTTTCTACTTTTCGATCATTTTTAATTATTTATACGTATTGTATAATATTTGAATGACATTACACGGAGAATATTTTCGACATAAATCTTTTCCATCGAAAAATGTTAGTTGGATCGACCAAGTTGATGCAATTTGCGCATTGTATAAATATTTAAAAAGTTTTATCGAGTAGTGAATCTGATCGATGCGTTTCCAAGTTCGATACTTCAAATCTCATCTTTGTAAATGGCAATCTCGTATTTGTTGTTTCGCCATTTTGTTTAATTTCGAGAAGGCCAACAACAAATTGAAATTTCCCTCCCATTTTCTACGTCTACGCCTTTTTTTCTTCTTCCTCTTCTTTTCTTATAACGTCAAACTGACGTAGCAACCTCTTAACCGTATGAAAAATAATTTCTGTGGGACGCACACAACAAAAATAAATATGAATAACAAGGGATAAATGTCAGTGGGTCGATGTATTATTTCTCGTTCGCCAGTTCTTCTTTCTTTGCTGTCTCGCATTTCTAACCTTTCCCGCTCGAATGGCACACCATTTTATATAAAAATTGGATCAAACGTTCCCTTTAACCAACAACTCTTTCAACATCGAATACTTTTATCCCGATTATCCGATCGATCTTTTCCATCTTCGAGTACTCCTCCTCCGTGACTTCGACGATTGACTTTCGACGTCGAAAAAAATAAAATAAATAAATAAATAAAATGCACAAGAATCTCGCATCTCGTTTCGAAAATTAAAGGTAAAAACTCACGTGATTATAGATGGATAGATTCTGTGTACGAAGAAGCAAGAATAACCGAACGGTGAATGAATAGTCGAATATTTTGATTTCGTTATGGTCGAAGATATTTCGAGTACAATGTACGCATCTAGATTAAAACGCGGTCAAACTTGGTGGAAACGGTGAATAAATCACGCCCACGAATTCGAGCGTCCAAACCGAACGGATCTAAATCTAAATTTCAAACAGTAAACTAAATGATTCGAGATAAAACTGCAACACATCTATCTATAAGAAATCGGAAATATTTGACGAAAAATACATATATATATATATATATACGTATCACCGTATAAGTAGTGGTATTTCGCCACGCGATCACGTTGGAAGAAGCGAGGCCAATTCTTGGAAGAACGATTCTTCTTTCCAATCTGAAACCAGTCAACTTACGTCTCCTGTTCTTCAGACGGCGCAGGAATTTGTAGAATTTTTTGTACGCGGTGTTCGCCTCCTTGCTACTCAGCTCCATAGCGCTCTTCGCCCTTTCATGCTTCTGCTGTCCGGATGGACAGAATTTTGGATATCGCCAGTGTTGGCACGGTTCTGACCAGTCCAACGTGGCAGCCGGTGCCATTGTGATCTTCGTTATTTTTTCGAAGGTAATTTCGAATCACCGGTAAAACGAGAAAAACAGAGAGAGAGAGAGAGAGAGAGAGAGAGAGAGAGAAACAACGATATCACTTGATTCCGCGTGCAAAGATTTAGCCCAACGCTGTGGCCAAGCGGTCGTCGATTCTCGTTAAATTTCGCTTAAAGTCTACAGCGTTGTACTACAGTTTACAAATATTCGCAGACTTGGAAACGATTTGGAAGGTGACCAGCTACTAATATTAACATCGTGTCAAGGACAACGACGTCGGTCACAATCGAGTTCACCGTGTATCTTTTATCACGGAGAGAGGAAGGGCCTTTGATGATTCGAAACACGATTCTCACTGTAATGACACGGTTATAAAAACCGAATTACCGGTTCTCGATTCGGCTTACGTGCCGTGGTCACGCGATCGCGCCATTGTTCCTCGTCCGCGAGACAACGGGATAAGATTCGACCAGGTATCGAGCAACGATCCGAATAGATTTAACTCGCGTATCGATTTATTATTATTAATAATACTTCTCACACTTGTTGTCACTCTTTGAACCGAGATCGATCGGTTGACGAAAAACCGATTTCCAGATTACGACACGCTGGAGTCGATGCGTGGTTCGTGCACGGTGGTTTA